AATTAATAACTGAAAATAATTAGTTTAAAAATGTTATATATACACATTTAGAAATGCAGATTATTTGTAATACATTCAATGATATATTAAAAATAAAAGAGTAAAATTGATAATTTATAGTAATTTTTAGTCTTTATGAATATAAGCAGTCGTCTACTGAAGTGCAGTAAATTGACGTATTTTTCTTCTCTCAGATCGAATATTATTATAAGTAATATCCAACAAAGAAAAAGAAATAAAACAATTGTAAAAAAAATAAATACAAAAAAAATTAAGCTTTGGAATACTACGTTTACGCATAAAATTATGAGGAATTACAACGCAAACACGATGATACAATTATGTACGGTTGGTCGAACCAACAAAAAATAAATAAAAAAAAAAAGATGGGAAGGACACGCAAAGATAACATTACAAACCACATACACACTCAGAGCGTACAATTTTTAAGAAGGTAAGGGTGCGTCAACACACATGCGTGCACGCGCACTTGTATATAATTTCATGCAATCATTAATTTCGGAATATTTATCGGGATTCTAATTAAAAGTCGGTCCCTTATTTATGTAGTCGGCCTTGATTAAAAAACATACAAACACACACACACACACACACACACACGCATATACACAAACAACACCCCATTATGTGTACATGTATATAATGTGGACAAGGACCGCAAACAAATTACGCATTCCCAGGCATGTGCACGAATTAAGACCACATATAAATAACCCGCAAAAAGCTCCCCCGTTCGTAAACGTATCATATATATAAGTACTGCCCTGGTCAGCAACAACAACAAAATCAATTATGCATACGTTTTGCGCGACTCGATCAATATTCATCAGCAACGCAACGCCATACACCTTATATTATACCTACTCTTTCTTTCCCAAGGAGGGCATCGTAAAAGTGCATTTCGGCGTCCATAAGTCAGGACTCTCCCCCTTTCCCCCCACCCCACTCTCCCCCACCACCATAAACACTCGCCAACCCTTTTTTTCAATACGCAAACACAAAATAAAACTATACCTCCAGCTCGTTCGCTTCGATCGACCGATCGATCAACAAATGTGACCGAGCAAATTTCGTATGATTCATGATGAATTCGCGCACGTGTGTGTATATATATATATACACATACGTATGCCTATATCGATCTGGGTTTTTCCATCGGTTCTCCCCTAAACTATTGTTATGTATCGCTTACCGATGATGACGCGGGCAGCGCTCAACAGCAACTCAGTCTATTCGGAACTGTGAATTTTTTTGCAAACAATAACAATAATAATAATAATAATAATGATAACAGCAACAGTAATGGTAATTTTTATTAACGAGTACCTGTATACTTGTTGAAAGGTAATAGTGACTAGCGAAAGAAAAACATGGGGCTCCTGTCGATTTCTCTTTGTATGCACTGTATATATATATATGTATATATTATGCGTGTATACGGAGGGATGGGAGCTTGCAAGGCTGTAAATTTAAATCGACTCTCGGATCCGCGAACGCTGTAATTCTTATTTTGAATAATTGAAATTTTAATGAGACCCAAGAGAGTTGTAGTCCATGTATGTGTTTGTACTGCGTTTTACATAATACGTTCACTCTTTGATGGTAGAAGCTGTACGCTGTATGTGTGTGTGTACTCGTTTTGTCAAAAAATAAATCAAAAGTACTTTTTTTAATTACGCATGCACGAGTTTGTACGAGAAACAGATATCGAAGGTGGTTTTCGAAAATTTCGATCACGTTCGCGTTTTGGTGTACCTACAAGTGGGTAACATGTGCACATCGCTTTCATATTTATGTCTTTCAATACTCCTGTGAGAAAAAAAAGTAACAACTGGCTTTAATTAATATATGCTATTTAAACTTTTAACGATAGTACAGCGTAATTTTTGTGGCAATTTTGAAACGTGGTACAATGATTACTTATTAGTATTAAACTTGTTACGTACTTCGAAAATAGTGACATAAGCTCCTTTGTTAACTTGATACTCGAAACGATTCCAATTATAAGAAAGCTATCCTACAACAAGCAAAAAAAAATTGAAAATGTTACTCTATGATTTTAGTTCTTACTGAAACTTATATTTTCTTTGGTTTTTTGACTCATTTTTTTTTTTTAACTAACTTTCATACATAAGTTTTATTCCAGTTTTCTACCATTGCAAAAACTAATACACCACTAGCTGACTAAGTTTGTACAAAATTAGATATTTTTTTGTAACTTCCAAATTCGAAACATAAATTAAAATGTATTTAATAGAAAATTTAAATATGAGACTTTTACTTTTTTTAAAGTTGTAGGTTAAAATATATTGGATTTTCAATTTTGTTTCTAGTAATAATCGTTTTGCAGACAAAATAAATTTTTTTAAATAAAAGTTCTTACTTGATCTTAAATTTTATCTACTTACATAAATAAGCAGTATTTCTACATATTTTGGTGAAAAAATTTCGAACCTTTCTGAAATTACTATCACCCTCGCTTACTTATCAACGAATAATAAATCATACAAATATATACTTATTTAGGTAATTTTGAGAAATATTTGTAATTACAAAAAAAATTAAGAACACTAAAGTATTTCAAAAAAGTATGACATTCAGAAAAAATTATTAAAACCAATTTTTTTCTGTTTAACAGTTTTGTGGAGTTCTTCTAATAAATTAATGCAGCAATTGTTGCAATGCATTAATTTAATGTTATTATTAAAGAAACAGTAAACAAACCCATCAAGGATCAAAGCTTTAAGTAATTAAATTACAATGATCACATAAAATAAAATGGAGTAAAATAAATTTTATTAAAACAAGCAAAATAAGTTACTTACAAAAAATAATTTTGCAAAATAATTGACTTGATTGGAAATATTTATATACAACTACACGCAAACCAATAGTCACATTTTTAAGATTTTACGGCATAAACTACAAGATCCTTATTTTACCGAATTAGCACACAGACAGTGAGCGTAATTATGTGTAATTTCAAACTGAATATTTGTCGTTCACGTAAAAAAAATTCTACTGCTGCGTCACTAACGATTTTTGTTTTAATTGCACATTTAACTGAATTTTACTTACCTACGAATAAAATTTTTTTTTCATCCAACAAATAAGACGGAGTCCTCACGTTAATAATCCGCCCGACTACGATGAAACAAAGACTGTATAATGCATATTGCACACGCAGAGAAAAAATAAGTAGGTACATGTAGAAGCTCCATTTTTCCACTTTTTCGTGTGAAAGACCCGTAAGCGGACGCGTGGCGCGGCACGTATAGGAAATTGCACGAAAATTTTTGCAAGAATCCCCAACACGAAAGTATCAGTTACGCACTAATGGCCGGGTTGGCATTCCCGATTACCAACAAGCCGTACGGCAGAGCTGTCGCGTCCTTCGACTCTCGTTTTATGTACCATAATATGTGCTTTGATTTTTTTTATTTTATTTTATTTTTTCGTTCCTTATAGGTACTCCTCTCCTTTCCTTCGTATGCCCCTTTAAATACCGATCGCTTAAGAACATACCGTTCCGATAATTTTCTCATATACAGTAAAATTCATACTGCAAAACGTCTTTGAGGACCTTGTAAATTATTCACGCGTAATTTTACCTCGTACGCATCGGCTCGGAACGACCCTCTGCTCCTATATATGTAATTTAATGCAATGCAATTTTCGACCGATTTTTCTCATTTTACATGTACCACAGGTAAAAGGTGCTCTTTGTCAATGGCACATTATTCTTCTTCTCACCAAAGTGAACCTCAGGATCAGAATGCATTTATGTGTTACCTGTAGCAGCAACGAGTCAAATGAAATTTTTGTTACGTAAAATGTGAATTCTCTCGGACGTGATGCTTTTTCGGGCATCATAAACGTCAACTATATGCCCACTCACAACTCGAACAACACGTCGGATAGAGTGCATTTTCTCACGAAAGCACTAAACAAGCGCATTTTAGATTTAAGTATCGTACGGAGAACACTCGTTCATAAATTACGTCCGCAAGCCGATCGTCTCTCTCGGCTGAACCTTTTTGGTCCTAGAGTTCGCGATCCTCCCGAGAGCGGTTTCGTTACGCTCATTTACCCCCGAGGCTTTATAAATAAACGCGGCTGCCACATCGCACAATTGCACTCTTCACGAGTCTATAGCTATGTATTTCTCGTAGGGGTCATTAAAAACTTTTTTTTTTTTTTTTTTTAGTTTTTTGATCGAAGCGCTCACCTTTTCGACTCAAGATGATTACCTCCTCAGAGTTAACTACAA